AGCTTCTCTCTACATTATTTTACTTGGTGTGTAATTCAATATACGTAAACACTAGTGTTGAACTCTTTCTGTGCCTAGACTAATGTATTTCAAAAAAAAAAATAATTTATTCACTAACTTGTGCTACGAGTATAAATATTTTGTGTCTGGATTTCTAATGATGATCTTTTATTTATTTATTTTGTTTCACCTTCAACCTATCTATATATGCTTTAAAATATAAAAGATATTTCCTAATAATTCATGAAAAATATTTCGTCATGTAAAAGTGTTTGCCAGGATTGTTACTGACAGTGTCTATCATGGCTATTACATTACACGGTTATTATATTCAATGTTATAACTAGTTCGATCAAAATGAAAGCTTTCGATATATCGGAATAATTATACAGTGATTTCTGTGGTATAAATAGGTAAACGATCTTGTTACAATGAGGAATATTGTGTTGTTATATATATATATATATATATATATATATATATATATATATATATATATATATATATATATATATATATAATTGCTATGAAGTCGAATTTTATCAATATTATCCAGCTACCTTGGTGATTATTCCTTGAATTACTGTTTGACTTCATGCCCGCACCCGAAATACAAAGTGGTTCACAGTGATTATGTATTTTACTCTGATGTGATGACAATGATGTCAATAGTTTATTTTTTTCTTGCAAAACAAAATAATTATTACTATTATCCATTTGTGTGTTGTCTTTCCTAAAGTTTCAAACGTCTTTTGAAGTAAATAGATCTCTGGTTATCGAATAATAATTGTACACCATGACACATTTACAATAGTATTAACATATCAATTATTCCTATCGTTGCCGTTTCTGTTATTCAATCAGTATTTGTTAAACGCTGCCAATATAGTTGATAAACAATTTCACTCTGCGAAACTCAATAATAATAAACTCTTGTCTTCAAATAATTGAAAGCTATACTATGTATGTATCGACTGATTTATATGAATACTCTTATTACTCTTTGTATTTGTTTTTAATAAAAACAATATTATTACTGTTGAATATTCAGTTACTTGCATGTATATTTTTACTATTATTCCTCTTCGTGGTACGCCTGTTTTGTGCTTATTATGTGACAATAATTAGATATTTATGTATATTTATGTATGTATAAAAAACGGTGTTTTATTCTAACACAGAAGATAGGGATGGATGCATTTCTTGACTAAATGTATTCCAATCTGCCTTGATATTGTTTTTTTCTGCACTATTGTCTATGTAAGCCCAGTGTTCAGCGCAAACTGTTTTTTATTAGTTGTTCTCTTCTTTTCTTTTCATCTTTTCATTCTAGTATATTTTGAAAGTAACGAAGAAAAAAATTATGAGAAGAAAAATCTAGAATGAGAATGATAAATTTTCTACCAGTTTTTTTCATTTTCTAACACAATAATCGATTATATTACGCAAGTGCACACGTATACGCATAAATTCAATGTACATATTAGTTATCACTGTCATTATTATGTTTGGTTCTTTTTAGTTTATTTTGCTTTCCTCTCTGACAAACTGACACGAGTTATTTCTTTTTTATTCAGTTTTCTTCCGTCTTTTTATCTAAAATGTAACGTGTATGTGTGTGTTACAAAGTTCACTGGAAAAAAATCATACAAATACATTAGATACAACAAATAAAATAAAGATAACCTTAACGTTATAAAGTCATCAGGCTGTTAGGTAAAAAAATATTCATCTTTTATTTCCAAGTAAGTTTCTTTATTTTTCTGTTGTATGCGTACGTGCAAACGTATATTTAATGAAGTACTAAAAGTCAAAATATAACATTTTATCCGAACTGTTTGTTTGTTTTAAAATTTCATTTGAGATTAATTTAATTCATTGGCTAAAATTTTAAAGACAGAAAGTGAATCTAGAAGAATAATCCTTATAAGGTAAACTACAGTTTCTTCTAAACTGGTTTTTATATTCACACCAAAAATGTTAATACATAGGCTTTATTCAACAAAACACTAAGTGTAAATTTACTGAGGAAGTGATATGAATTTGATTACTCCCAAAGTTCTCAGAACCTTCACTTGTTGCGTTCTACTTTAAGTTTTTTAGAGGTTCCCGTTCATGACCCCATAAAAACTGAGTCAAGGACCTTCAAGTGTCTTGGTCAATTACAAAGTTCATTATTCTAATGAGAAGTTATAACTTATAAAGTTGGCCAAGTCAGGATTAGCTAAGTAATTCAACAACAATGAATAAGGATCCTGATGTTCCACTAATTGGCTAAATTAAAAAAATATGGCCCGTTAGATTTGAAATAAGTGAGTGAACAGTATCGCTTTGCTGTAAAATATGAGAATCTTTGGTTAGATTGTGAATAAGTTATTGGATGTTTCTAATTTAGGAACTGTCTAGTATCACATGTCCTGTTAAATATTATCCTAAACACCTTTCATAGTGTGGTATAGTTCAGAAAATATTAAACTCTCGTAACAATGGTAAAATACTGCGCTATGCATATTCGACTAAGCTTCTCAACTAACAATATACAGTGACCTTTACATTTACATTCTAGATGTATTGTGAAATGACAAACTAGTGGAAATGCAATATCTAGGACTGCAAGTATCCACATAACATATGAGCTGACTAATATTTTTAGAACTATCAGTATAGGAGTTTGTGGACGAAACATCCATCAAGTGCTTCCTGATTTTAAATGTTTGTTTAACTTGGATTGGTTCGTAATTTCAATAATATTTTTAAAGTTATTTATGCAAAAACTTTTCAAACTACGGATTCCTATAACACTTTTAGTTCCAGTTAATTAAATGGAAGTATGTGCATAATTGACCCATCACTTAGTAGTGATCAGTGTTATATAGGTAAAGTCATTCTTATTGGTGACCGAATTCTAATGATCTAGCTACGCAACTCGACGACGTGAAATCTAATGCACCAGAGAAGATCAGTTCCCTCAAGATTACAACTACATTCTGCTAAGGAACCTCAAATAGCACGAAACCTCGGTCTATGGTTTCTTGTCGATTACCCCTAATCACCTATCATCCGAATGTAATCGTAGTCTTGTTCATTTAATTTAATGCAAAGGAAATAAAACAGCAAAAAAGACTAATACCTAGCGGTATATATTTAATTAAAGATCAGCACATGCATTTCAAAAGGTATTCAAATATACACTCTCATTTAAATTAAGCGCCGTTGTTAACAGTTAAATACTTTTGTGTAGCTGCTGTTTCGTTCATATGCACAAGAGATATGAACTAACGGTCTCTTTCATGTATCACCAAATGATATTATGAAACTTAAATTAATAAAGATTCAAAAACACAGAAACAATATCAAGTTCACCTTTTATCAATTCGCTGTAAATGAAATACCTAAGACATTAAAAACATAGTTATTCGATAATTCACCTCAACATCGATTTAAACAAAGTGTATCAGTGTTAGTAGTCTGTCAAGTTTAATTGAATTTTTGTTCCTTATAGATTGTAAAATGACTTATTTGTAAGTAGTTAAATTATAGTGCGACAAAGGTTCTAAATATTTCTCGTAATATTTTGACATTTCCTGAAGATACTGTTATGAATAAAATGCAAACTGATTTGCTGCTTTCTAGACATAGTACGAAGTGTTAGAAATGATAAATAGTTTTGATGTCATTTTAAAATATTTCCGACAAGAAAAATATAGATTCAACTAACATTCAAAAGAAGTCTTTTACTGAATATATTTTAAACATAATTGTTAATACATTTTTTCTATAGAATAGATGTCTCAAAACTTAAAATGAACTTTGACAGATAGTTATTTCAATGACTATAGAAGATACTTGACATTGAGAATGTGGTATGAAAAGAAGGGATGAAAAGGTATGTATGAAGAAATACTAGAATTCAAGATAATGAGTGAATTCATTTGCGTCATCGTGATTGATTCTCAACAACTCCACCCGAACTCCACAACCACTGATCACGGTCATCAAGCCGATCCAAAACATGTAGTCTGCATCCACCGTATGACTCCAGTCAACCAACATTCAGTGACTTAATGAACTGGTGACACATTTTGGTTTGACAACTCCTTGTTTCCCTCCAACCTACTACTACACCAGCAAACAGCACACGCTCAGTTAGGTGGTGATTAGACATACATCACACCTGTTCCAGTCACTTCAGTTAATGAAGGTTCATAACCTCATCAACTGACTACCCATTTTTGCCACGAATCCTACACCTAACATAAACATTACCATTCACGTGATAAGTGATTATAAGACATCTATGGCTGGTAACACGCATTCTACCCTTGTTGTCTACTTTCGTAAACCGTGTTTCACAGCCACGCAATAATGCATAGTGCACTACTAGGCACTATACTCACTCTTTGCTTGAAACATATATACTTCTCCTATGTCATAGGTGGCGCAAGCTGACAAGCGACAATCGAGTTCGAGGGATCCGTATTGAGATTGCATCAAACCTTGACCCATCAAGACGGATGAAGCATCTAAGATATGTGAAATAATCGACGTCCCCAATTGCATCTCTCGGTCATTAGTCCAGACCTTGATTCCATGAACAAAAAAATTGCACGTAAGAAACGTGTTTACCTTGTCGCTCAAGATGATCAGAAGACTCAATATTGTATCAACGTTTCAACCAAACAGAACTATATCATCCACATATTCCAAGTTGAGGAGTAAATTATCTAATAGGAGATGGATCCCTGAATAATTAAGTAAAGGAAGATTGAAATCTAGGAGGAAATTCATAACGAAATTGAATAGATAAATGGACAGTGGATAACTCGGACGAACATAGTTTCGCCACAAGTGATAACTTGACCAATAGTGTTTGATTAGGAAGCCCTTATAAAGCTGGTGTACGTTTTTGGTATTCCTTTCACTGGAAAACACCGGCCCGTGCCGCTTCTAACTTACGTTCAGCTTATTTCAATCGTATTCGACGATTAAATATTCTTAGTTAAAAGTGAAGAAATATATATTGTTTATTTTTTTCCCGTGAACAATGAAGGATTAATTATAATTGTTTAAAAAAGCATTGTTGACATAGTAACCACTTAACACTAGTATATGTAAATGTAATGTAAATATTTGAACTGTGAGAATATCTAACAGAAAAACGTTTTCACACATAAGCATAGATCCGTATTCGAAGAAAAAATAATAATAATGGTTCATTCATTTACAATTTGTATTATATACATCTGCTTAATTTACTTCAATTTTTAAAACTGAGCAATAGAATTATCAGTAAAGAAACATAAAGAAATACTCGAAATCACTTATCCGATCAATAAAGATTACATTCATAGGTATAAATGATCAAATTTCAGGCTAACTGATACTACTTAAACAATCGAAGGTGTTCATTAATAAAGTATTTTCGTTCACTGATTCATTTACCCAACGGGAATTAATCCAGTGTATGTTAATTTTATGCGGATAGAATAAAACGATTAAAGGTGATGAATGAGTCAAAATCGGTGCTATTGAGGATGATGAAATTCGGTTAATATGTCCCGAACATGGCATTTTACTTATACAAATATCATTAATTTGACAAGACAGTATTTTTTTATCATTCAGGTTCACATTTATCGGATAATCATTCTTCAAGCTGGAGTTTGTATCATTTAAACGTAAAGAATTATTAGCCAGGTTGAATATGTTTACAATATCCCATAAAATTATTTGATTATTTGAATCCAAACTGAAAAATACTGAAGAACGAGTAGCTGACCAAATAAGTTTACGAATACTCATAAATGAACGATTAACTGAAATCTCTGATGTTAATTCTGAAATTGGTGCTACTGTGTCATCTTTATTTTTAGTTAGTTTTATTTTGGATAAATTTGTTATTGTCACTGATGACGTAACATCCCATTCAAGTATAGGTTGAAAGTAATTTGTTTTATATAAACAAATTTTACCATCTGTATAACCTAGATAATAGAAACAGATTTTACAAATAATAAGAATTATTATTATTAAAATTACATTGTTGAAATTGGTGTATAAAAGGAGAAACATTAACTTATTGTAGTCATCGAATAGGGTCACAGATATCAACAGAAAGATATAATCCATAGTTAGTTATAAAGTGCCCATATATCTCTTTATTTCGCTCTTGTTTTTGTGTCCGTTTTACACTTGAAAATATGGAAAAGGATATTTTTTATTGGTATAATTTTATTCGGTGATTCTGTTGATTAATACGTCTTACACACGATAAAAGATATTTTAAAAAAATTATTCAGGTGAGTTATTTGATATATCAATGCACATGAAACAAAAAAAAAACACTTTGATTTGTTAACCAAGTTGCTTATTTATGGAAAACTTATTGTAGTATGAGATTCATTTCGACATTCAGTTGTTCACTTTAACATCAAGCATAAAGAACGGCTTTTTCTGAGGCTATAATCAATTAGATACTACTCGTTTTAAAAAATGCGCTTGTTCTGCAATGACTCACTGGATTGTGATATAATTGTAATATAGTTGTCTTAACCTCAAGTCGTTTTTACTAGATAATAATTTACCAAGTCAATATTTAAACCATTGAGCAATAGTATAGAATTGTCTACTTTTGTGTAAACAATCGCTGGCTCGTGTCTGAAAGTTAATCTATGTCTGAAAACTCTTCATATGATTAAGTTGTTAAAAGATGTAATTTTTGACAGCTATTACTAAGAATCATTCACTAGTTAGTTGAATTTATCGCAGTATTGAATCTTGTTAAGTTCTATTTAAAGCAAAGCAGTACTGAACTGCTATTTCATCTTACTACTGGAATCAGCTGTGCGCACCAGGAAGTAAACCAACTCAAAACATATAGGTTTCTCAGCGAGAGAATAATATTTAGACTACTGAGTTAAAACCGAATGTGTCACATTCCCTTCTCCGATTCTCAAAATGATAAGATCATGGACAAAAAACTGTGTACTGCATGTATCTGGAAACCTTATTCAATGCAACTTTATCAAAAAAATGAAAACAAGACCATGAAATTGATTTGTTTTTGTTACGTCGAGTTATGCTATTGTCCAATCGTAACATGCCACATTGATATTCTAGAAAGCTCTATCAGGTTCTGATTAGATGGAATCTCTTCGGCTCCCTTAGAGCCTTTTAAGGCTTCGTCGTGCTTCTCAACAGTTTACAAGCATTAGTTTTATTTAGTCAAGTTCAATATGAAAGAAATTATGTATCAAACAAGTGATCGTGACGAATATGAATCTCACTTTAACGAGTAAACCGTACCCAACGATAAAAAGGGATTTTTATTATTTCTTCAATAAGTTATATGATCATTTATATGGATCGCTAAATATTAGAAAATAATGAATAACTGACTTATTCCCTGGATACACATCAGAAATAAGTATTCTTTAGACAAAAAACTATATAACCCATTAAAAAGGGAAACTGATGAGTCAATTTTCAATAAAATCATTTGACAGTATTACGTTGTCGCCACACAATAGTACCAGTAAAACATTTCATTCATCCCTAGTGTTGTCTTTAGAAGATTTGGACTTGTCAGATGACCTCGCCTATCTATCTCATACACACCAACAAATACAGATGAAGACAACTAGTTTAGCAACATTCTCTGCATCAGTAAGCCTAATATACAAAAAGGAAAATCCAAGATTCTCAAATACAACGTGAAGAACATCAAGCCAATCACACTTTATGGAGATGTGGAATCTTTCACGTACCTGGGTAGCATCGATGAACAAGGAGGATCGGATGCGGATGTAAAGGCAAGGATTGGCAAAGCAAGGACAGCATTCCTACAGTTGAAGAACACATGGGACTCAAAACAACTTTCAATCAATATCAAAGTCAGAATCTTCAATACGAACGTCGAGACAGTCCTACTGTACGGAGCTGAAACGTGGAGAACTACTACAACTATCATCAAAAAGGTACAGGTATTTATGGACAGTTGTCTACGCATGACACTCAATGTCGGTTGATCGGATACCATCAGCAACAGTCTACTGTGGGAGAGAACAAACTAACTTCCAGCTGAGGAGGAAATTAGGAAAATGCGTCGGAAGTGGATAGGACACACATAAAGGAAATCACCAAACTGCATCATGAGGCAAGCACTTACTTGGAATCCTGAAGTGAAACGAGGAAGAGGAAGGTCAAACAACACAGTGCGTCGGGAATCGGAAGTAGATATGAAAAGGACGAATAGCAACTGGAAACAATTGGAAAGGATTGCCCAGGACATAGTTCGTTGGAGAATGCTGGTGAGCCGCCTATGCTTCTTCATGACAGGTAACATGCGTAAGTAAGTAGTTGTTATCTTTTTGAAGCGGGCACTACTCACAAGAATGTTTGTAAGTAGTGTATAGGGGAACGCGATGTCGAATTTGCAACAATCGTCGCACAGAGCGAAGAGTTTCAGTGCATCAGAAACATGACATTGACAGAACGCTAGGAGGCCATTCGATAAAGCAGTTCATATTACAGAACGAACCAAAAGATGCAAATGGACAATTGAAAGCTATGTATATGTATTATGTGCCCCCAAATGCCCTGGTATGGCCGAGAGCGGGGAGGGTTCGCCCTCCCTCTCGAAATACTCTCACACGGCCACGCGTATACAGCCTCTGCCAGGGAAGTCCTACTCACTTCCTTCTCGTGGCGGGGGTGTTGTTTACGAAAATGAGAGGACGAAAAGCGAATGTCCGGCGCTATAACCGGATCCCAAATCAATGGTGCACATGGGCTCCAGTATCCTGAAGGAACAAATGGCATATGAACCAATTGTTGGTCACCGGCTACCATGGGACTGCATCTCCTTACGATGCTCCACTGCCTTGTGGGTTAGACCTTTAGGTCAAAGGCTCGGGGTGTGGCCCCCTAAGAAAACCACCTGCTTCGGTTTGGGCACCCGGGCAGTATCTCAGCCCACACACTAAAACTATGATGAACTATCTGCTTATAGAAAATATTCGTTTCTCTCCAACTAAAATTGAAATGACTGGTATTATTATTATTATTATTATTTACTACGTCATTTATTCAATATCTCCTATTTCTACCTTTTGTATCCGTTTCGACTCAGACAGCAGCTCGCCTATGGTGAAAATTCAGCTTTATCTAAACGTTCTCGAGTCACTGCCTGGTTGAAAATTGTATGTTGCCACCGAATACGAGTACTGAAGCAGTTTTTCTGAAACCACGTGCACCATTCAAACTGGCTGCCTTCAACGTTCGCACACTTATGCAGGTCGGACAACAGATAGGGCTGGCTATGTCTTTGGAAAGTCTTAATATTGATGTGTGTTGTCTATCCGAAACCCGTATTCAAGACTCTGTTGAAGTACTACAAGTTCGCTCCCCATCTGTCACTTCAAAAAGCTTGTTTTATGTGCGTTTATCCGGGGACCCTGTGGCATCTTCGTCTGGTCTTGCTGGCGTTGATGTCGCACTAAGCGCAAGAGCTGAGGCAGCACTAATCGATTGGATCCCCATTAACAGTCAGTTATGTGCTGTTAGATTGGAAAGTTCCATCAAAGTGAGAAGAAATCGGCGTGAGAAACGATGGCTTTTCGTCATCTCCGCCTATGTTCCGACAAATTGCAGCCCGGATGCAATCAAGGACGAGTTCTACCATCAGCTAACTGTTCTTCTCCAGAAAGTGCGTTCGACAGATATTGTAGTACTAGCTGGAGACTTGAATGCTCAGGTCGGGCGTATAGGCACAAAAGATAGTCGTTTAGGTGGCCGATGGGGACTCGTTGGTCGCAGGACAGATAACGGGGAACGTCTACTGCAACTATGCACAGACCACAACCTGTTTCTGGCTAGCACTAACTTTCGGCACAGTCATCGCCGATGTGCCACCTGGCATCCTCCTTCTACATCTCAAGCCTGGACTCAGATTGATCACATCGCGATCAGCTACCGCCGGCGTGGTTGTGTACAAGACTGCCGCTCCTTTTGGAGTACCTATCTGGAATCTGATCATGCTCTGGTCTGCGCCAATCTCACCTTACTTTTCAGTGGACAACGAAGTGACCGCCACCAAAGGATTGATGTTAGCAAGCTGGTTGCAACTTCTATTGCTAGTAAGTACCGAACCGAGCTAGCTTCTAGGCTAGCTAGCATTCCACCGAAAAGTATAGATGAGCATTGGTTGCAATTGCATGACGCCATGAAAATGGCGGATACAGTCTGTTGTGGGTTCGCGAAACGTCCCGCTTATAAGCACTGGGTTTCTTCTGGTTCCTTACAACTGATTGAAGCCCGTCGGTCTACTCCGGGTGACCGTGAGTTTGACCACAGACGAAGGATGTTACGCAATGAAATCGGGCAAAGCTTGCGTAAGAACCGAGAAGCCTGGTGGTCGGAGCGTGCTAATGAGCTGAAAGCAGCAGCTGCATCTGGTAATTACTGCAAGCTCTTGCAACTCATCCGAGCCACTGGCAGCAAGAAGTCTGGTGTGAGCGAAACAATCTGCGAGGATGACGGAACGCCAATCACTAACATCCATCGACGTCTTGGACGATGGGCAGAATTCTTTGAAGGGCAGTTCAACTGGCCTGCTGCTACGGCAACATCGGTCAGACTGTCCTGCCCTCCATGGCCGGTGACGACTGATCCACCAAATGAGGCGGAAGTCCGCAAGGAACTCCAACTCTTGAAAAGTTACAAATCACCGGGCCCAAATAACTTACCTCCGGCTCTTTTTAAAGATGGTGGTGACTTTCTGACTAAGGGACTGACGACGTTGTTTACAAAGGTCTGGGAACTAGAGAGTGTACCAACGTCATGGAATGAGTCGATAGTTGTCCCTATCTTTAAAAAGGGTTCACGTTGTTCCTGTAACAACTATCGGGGGATAAGTCTACTTCCGATCGCGTCCAAGCTACTGGCTTCCGTTATACTTCGTAGGTTGTTCAAAACCCGAGAAAGATTGACTCACGAGGAGCAGGCTGGGTTTCGTTCTGGTCAAGGATGTATTGATCATATCTTCACCCTCCGCCAAGTGTTAGAACACCGCCATACTTATCAAAGGCCAACAATCGTAGTGTTTCTTGATATCAGGGCCGCCTTCGATTCGTTGGACAGAACTGTTCTCTGGGATTGTCTATTGAAGAAGGGTGTGCCTGAGAAGTTTATTAACATCCTAAAGGCCCTATACACAAACATCTCAGGTAGAGTGAGGGCACACAACCACCTTTCTCCATTATTCCATTCAAGCAGTGGGGTTAGGCAGGGTTGCCCAATCTCACCATTCCTCTTCAACTTTGCCATCGATGGCATTCTGGAAACAGCTCTGATGGATGTAAGTAATGGTGGTGTGGATCTGTTGCCTGGAGAAAGACTTCTCGACCTTGAGTGTGCGGATGATATTGTCTTACTGTGCGAGAATGCCCAAGCCATGCAATCCGCACTTAATCAGTTGGCAATCAGTGTCCGTAGGTATGGTATGTGCTTTGCACCTTCGAAGTGCAAAGTACTTCTACAAGACTGGCAGGATTCTAATCCTGTACTCACTCTGGATGGTGAGCAGATTGAAGTAGTCGAGAAGTTCGTGTATCTGGGTAGCTGCATAAGTGCTGCTGGTGGTGGCATGAGTGATGAGATCAATGCACGTATAGTGAAAGCCAGAGTGGCTTATGCCAATCTGGGCCATCTTTGGCGCCTTCGTGATGTTAGTCTGGCTGTAAAAGGTCGGATCTACAACGCGACGGTGAGAGCAGTTTTGCTCTATGCTTGTGAAACCTGGCCTCTCCGAGTTGAGGATGTTAGACGACTCTCTGTGTTCGATCATCGCTGTCTCCGAAGGATTGCTGACATTCAGTGGCAACACCATGTTAGTAGTGCAGAGGTTCGGCATCGTGTGTTCGGGCACAGAGACGATAATTCCATTGGTGTCACCATCTTGAAACATCGACTTCGGTAGCTTGGACATGTTCTACGAATGTCGTCCCAGAGAATTCCACGTCGTGCATTATTTGCCGACTCTGGGACTGGTTGGAAAAAGCGGAGAGGTGGTCAGTTTATGACATGGTGTCGTGGTATGAAAGAAAGCTGCAAAGGGCTAGCTTCTGTTGGTCCTTCACGACTCCCTGGTTGGGGTCCGAGAGACGGTGTAACGCAGTGGCTAGAGACGTTATCAGATATGGCTCAGAATAGAAGCCAGTGGCGATCGTGCTGTAACCTTCTTTTACTTTCTTCATAAAAAGTGGTTGTATCTTCCTTAACTGAAAGATTTCTTCTGATTGTACCTTTCCGTTTCCCCCACCATTGTTCTCTCTCTCTCTCCCTTTTTTTTATAATTCCCCACGTTCATTACTTTTTTTTTCTCCTTCTATTCAAATTATCATTGTTTTGTGTGGCGCATATATATTTGGTGCCCCCCTGTACCAATATTTATGTGTTCAAATAAATAATAAATAAATATGTATTATGTAAATATTTTGTAACTTCTCTGAATAGACATATGCATACCTTCTGCTTATTGTCTTGTTTGACATAGTAACGATAAGTAAATCAACTTATGATTCGATACGTAGTAGTCAATCAATTATTAATACTTCATCGTTCTACGGTCTGTCAGTTGCTGCTAGAATAGCTCAGTGATAATCTTCAGATTGGATCACCGGTTAACATAAAGTCAAATGCGTCAGGGGAATCAGTTCCCTCAAGTACATTTTGTTGATGAGTCTCAAAAGGCAGGAAACCTAAGTTCAGGGATTCCTTTTCATGGCTTTCAACTACTACATTCATTTCAACATCGCAGACGTGATGTCGAGTCATTTAGACTAACTGTCACATTGCAACTTGATCGACAGGATTGGATTGGCACTTAGAAGTACTTGACATACATAACATGACATGAGAGATGAATCAAAACATTATTCACTACTTAGTGGTCGCTCAATTTTAAACTAAAATATCAGCTATTTATTCGTTGGATTCAAAATTTTGGATGTAGTAAAATTATTATTTTCATTTTATTATTATTATTATTATTATTATTATTATTATTATTGAGCACATTTAATATGAAATAAAAACACAGACACTCTAAATGATATTTTTTCTTTGTTTTTTTTCATGACTTCACCTTTTTGAATTAATTTGTCAATCTCACCGTTCATTCACCTTCAAATACGTGATTATTGTATAAACATTAAATACCAATTATAAATTCAGCATAATTATTACAATGAACTGAGTAATCAGTCCTAGTTGTCTAGTGACCTTCATATTCATATATGATTCATATGTGCAGGAACATTAAGTCTATGTACCTGACACCTGACAACAATAACATTGGTATTTGCCAGAATGATTTTCTCATCAAACTGTTTAGATAAGTAATTGTTTCTTATTACTTAAATTCATTATCCAATTTATTCAAGCAAATGTTCAGTTGATTATAGATGTATATATCTGTGCACTACAGGTATTTGTGAATATAACAGTAACCACTGTAATGGATTTCGTTAAAAAATCTTTGAAGTACTTTAACTACTTCAGGAAAATGTAGTTTTTACAAAAATCAAACTTGAAATAGACTAAACTATTAATATTACTGAGAGAGTTCTCTTATGTAACTCAACTATCATTAAATTCAAAATAAACTACTTAATGAGTTTTGGCAAAGATTAACGATAGTTCACTGTTACTAGGCTTTAGTTCAAGGCTAATTAATGCAATAGACCTCTATTGATCTCACTAATAAGAGAAATATAGTTTTATTTGTGTGCTTCATTAGGATTTAGAAAATTCGATTGCCTTTTATTTTGTAATAAATCTATACTCTTCGACCGATCATCCATTTTCGGCTTATTTCATTAAGTTCACTCAAGCAGTCAAAATAAAATTTTATTCGCTAGTAAATAATTACGACGAAAAGATAGGTGATTACATAACAGTCAACATAAACATGATTTTCAGTTCCATTTTAATCATTAATATCGAACCCATTAACTAAGATATCTTGAACCTTTGTGTTTAATAGTATCACTTGTAATTTTAGGTTGTTTAAAGTCGATGATAGACCTAGACATTGAGCGAATTTATTTTGTCCCTCAAATCTTGTTTTTCTTTCTTCGTTCCAAATAATCCTTGTACCTACTTCTTAAAATCAACTTTACACATGTGCAGGCGATACACCGCCCTGTTAACTTTATGTAAAACATCTATGAATTGTTAAAGATTTTCTTTAATTTACCCATTAATGTAAACGTTTCCATCTTACAGGGAGTAAGCCACAGTCTAAAAGACTGAATATCAACTCTTCTCACTTATGCTAATAGATATTTGCGTTCAAATTCCACTAAGAGAATCAATTCTCTCAATATTTTAGGTGTGAATTGCTAGATTTAGGGTTTCTTGTTGTTACCTTTCAACCATCAAGTGGAGTGTGATGACTAGTTAATTAGCCCGGTTTCCACAACGTATTTGAACTGAAAGGACTAAACTAGCATTAAAAATTGAAAAAAAATGATACTGATTGCTACTCAGCGAATCTTAATTGTAAGCATTTCATTTTAACCTCAAATAACACGCTGGAACACCTACTAAATACAAAGTTTTTACAACTAAAAAAACATAGAATAGTTTTATTAAACGTTTTCTGTCTTTGGAGAAGTCAGACGATTTTTAAAAGTTATGCAATTAAATATAACCATTTGTATGCAAAAACTATACAATAAAATATCCAACCTGCGATGAATATATGCAATTCTGCATTTGGATGAGTTTCTAATGTCTGTACAGCTGAACAACATAATATTCGTGAAAATAGTTTAGGAAAAACTGTTTGATTAGGTGTACGTCCTCGATGTATAATTTGACCATTGCTACAACCAATCAAGAAATTCCCGTGTTTCGTTATAGCTAAACAAGTGGTTATAACTTTATTATTCAACCGATTTGACAGATTCCAATTATTCTCTTCTATTTGAAATTTTAGACTATTCTCTGTTAATGAAGCTGGAATCTAATAAGGGAGAATTGAAAGAAAAATATTTTCCAAGCGTAATTTTAATGCATATCTATGAGAGTGTTGAATAGTTAATTATTGCGGACTGAACATTATAGAAATATTTTATATCTTTTGTTTTATTCAAGTTAGATTCAATAGGTTAATATAATTAGAAACAAATAGCTAAAAACAAATAATTTGAACTACATAAAACACAAGTATGCTTATGTAACTATTGGTAATAAGTCAGAACGTTTTGATAGATTGGGGAAAAGAAAATTATCTCTTTTCGTAAAAGACTGTCAACAAAAGATTGGTTTTAAATAGGCTTGTCATATTAATTAATATGACTTTGAAATAGTTGTTTTATCAAAAGAGTTTTTCGTATAAGATCAATTCAAATAAAAACGTATGTGAACCTCCCTTTTCTATTACTTAATTATGCATTTACTCACAATTGATAATCTAACATTTAATGTTATCTTATGCTTCAGATTATATCATCGGAAAAAGAATATAGGGTCGTTTAACAAACATCATATTTATATCATCCTCTAAAATGATTTTGCTTCTAATCTAGAAAACCGATAAGTGTAGTAGAAAGTATTGGCTATATTTGTAATCGGTTTTAAGAAAACACAAGTTTATATTTTTTACAATAATTTGATTCTGAACTGGACATGAGTCATTTGTTATTGTTCGTCTTCAGTATCGCTATATAATATGAGTTTATGGTTCTGAGTACCAGGTTGACCAAAAATATTTCCTTCAACTGGAATTTAGTCAGAGTTTAGTTTCCTAAATGTTTCATATAAATTTTCTTAATTTGCATGTATACACCGGACGTGTATTCTATCTGTTTAGTATATCCTCAAGCAACAAATGAATTACATGTTACTTTGATACGAAGATGCAAAATAGTTAACAATCTTGCATTCAGAATATGTGAAATTTCCTATGTTCCATAATCGTCACGAAACCTCAAGATTAAATGGTCTTTTTCATGATTGATTTTAGGTAAACTCTTCTAAACAGCCCCAAACCAACTAACAGATGCTTCTTGGATTCGATAGTTGCAGGAAATCAAATTAGTTCGTTTTTAAATAAATCAAACATATATTACCAAAATGTAAAATGACAGGCAGTTTGCAAAACGTGAATGATCGTTGGAAAAGAATAATCATAAATTGCACGTGGGGTATTAAGGCGTACGTGCTTATTAGTAAAGCAAAACGTGATCTTCGACAAGTAATAATGATCCTTAACTTACATTTATTTGTGTTGATTTGTACTCCATAAACAGTAGGCGAATTATACGTAATCGACCAGTGCCGGGAGATAAACAGTAATCTATTTGTGAGCCTGCAAGGCATTCTATAGTATTTTGTACTTTATATTTTTGATTCATCAATACTAGCCATAAACTAATGTTACCGATTTCGTCTAATGCAAGCAATTGAAATTTATCTATGTCTGTAGTTGATTCGTCTACTAGTTCACGATACCTATGATGATCTCCGACTATAATTTTAACAGATATAATTGGACTAAAGTGATTATATTGTTGAGTCACACAGTTGACGAATGATTGAAGCTTGCATGTATTTGTGGAATCTTTGTATTCTACAAGTGATGTTTTATATGTTGGTAATAAAACAGGTAGGTTTAAAAATTCATTGAATCCGGTGGAAACAGACTGATGTTGAACGTCAGCTAAAATCGATAAATTTGTTGATTTCACCGGTATTTCATTGAAATACTTGTGTTGATCCCAAAAAGACAGACCTCCGTCGTGTAGACCAGCAATTACCTCAACGCAGAAATGATAAAATGAATACTCATTATTTAAGGTATAATAGTTGTTAAATAAACAATGAATACTGAGTTTATCGCGTAGGTGAATAGAACAGAGAAAACATATATTAAAATTAGAAGGGGTTTTGTGGAGAATCGGTAATTTCAATAATTGAAATCATGAGTCGATTGAAGCTAGACCACCATGGAAAACCCGAAAGCACTGGACGGCCGTTTCGTCCTAGTATGGGACTCCTCAGCAGTGCGCATCCACGATCACGACCCCCGCTGGAAGCCGTAACCAGTGGAGTTCAACCAGGTCTGTTGTGAGATATCAGTTCACTGAAGACAATGCTGACGGTGGCGTAACTTCGTGAATTGGTTAAAGTTAGACATTAACACCGTTGGGTGCCGGCTCAGTGGTCTAGTTGGTAAAGCGTCTGGCGCGAGACTAATAGGTCCTGGGTTCGAATCTCGCGAGGGGCGGGATCGTGGATGCGCACTGCTGAGGAGTCCCATACTAGGACGAAACGGCCGTTCAGTGCTTCCAAGTTTTCCATGATGGTCTAGCTTCAATCGACTCATGATTTCAACTAGTGATATATTAAATCATCAAAATATCCATGAAAATCGCTAAATTCGTCACTAATAGTCATAACAGATTGACACAAATTTCTATTATATCAAGCTACCATACGACGATAGAACGACGAGGTTCATAACCTCATCAACTGACTACCCATTTTTGCCACAAATCCTACACCTAACATAAACATTACCACTCACGTGATAAGTGATTATAAGACATCTATGACTGGTAACACGCATTCTACACTTGTTGTATACTTTCGTCAACCGTGTTTCACAGCCATGCAATAATACATAGTGCACTATTGGACACTATCTAACAGGTGGTGTTTGATTAAAAAGCTTTCACAAGAGTAGTGGACTTCTTTGATGTTCCTCCCATTTGTCATCATTGCCCTTAGGCTTTGCATTCAACGGAACTTAATGTCTCTTAAAGGTCAAGAAGTACTACTAACGCTGAACTTAGATAGGCATCTATTTGTTCAAAAATCCGAAAAAGGGTGAATATTAAAAACTGATCGACGACAAGATCACGAGTGTTTTTGAGAATATGAAACAGGTTGTCGCTTTCGTTTTTTGACACCATGAAAAGATACTTCTTGAGGTACCTGAAAAGAAATCTGTATTAGAAGTGGTCTTGTCGACTTATGAGCAGCTTTAGTGTCAAAGGGACGACAAATTGAGACACACGGTTTTTATCCCAATACTTTCAGGAGCGTTGGTTCATTAATTTTGAGTTCTCAGTGCAGACGACATATATCCGTTTTGTGAAGTGAGATATAAAATTTTCAAGTCCAGATTTTTTCAACCCTAACTTTCCGTTGCGAAAATGCAGAAACGTCACAGATGCTGGTTGTATGACCGAATAAGTTTACTACTGTCTTGCCCAAGTGTAATGAGTTATATGACTTCGCTCTCGAACAGTGAGTTTGCTGCTTATAGCCTTACGGCTCTCCAACTGACTTAGTTGACATAGCAGAATGTGAAGAAATAAGCGCCTCAGACGATAAAGAGTGTGGTAATCAGTACTGTTACTCACCAATGGCATTTATCCTAACCTTTAGACAGATAAATTAGTCTAACATTCCCAGTCATTCTATAATTTACATGTGCGACTTGAGCATGTATTTGTCGTACTGTGTTTGCGTCTGTATACTTGCTTGTATCGTTTATGCTAGTTGATGTTGAGTAACGTTTTAAATACAATGGGTAAACCTGTTCACTAACTCCAATTAGCTATTCTTTTGACTTTTTGCCCTTATAAATATCTGAAACATGTATATCTAAAATCATTCTCGTGTATGACTTTTGATATACCGTTAATTTAAACGTGTTAAGTTCACAAAAAATACATGGAGACAAGTAGGATATTTATCTTACCAACTATATTAACGATTTGGTGTTATCGGAGACAAAAAATGGTCACAAAAACCTCGATTAAAAAATCATTCTGTACAAACCCAACCACAGTACTACGGTAGAAGCTACTGTTTGAATAATTAACTAATGAATTAGTTCATGTGTTTATTACCAAGATAGCTAGCTTTAAACACTCAGTAAAGATCACCTGGTTTTAACACAAAACCCCCTTGCACCAACCTCAAACATTTTTTGGACTAGTGTGTATCTACTCACAATAAATTATAGTAGTATCATTACTTCATTTCTTTAAACAGATGGCTTGTAGATCTTATATTGAAATCGCAGTCCAGGTTCAAAAACAGATTTGAACAAATAGCGTTATCTTTATATTAAATATGTGAAATCAGTCTAGCGATCAGTGGTGACGTGTTAAAGCTAATGGTAACTTTAAAGCATTGTAGATTCATCATCAATTTTAAGATTGTAAATGAAAACTTTCTCTAAAAATGATATTAAATTTTTCTGATGCATGTGTTGGATATAATCATCAATCATTTAAGTTGAAACACTATTCCAATCAAAGTGACAGTAGAATAGAGTGGTAAGAAAATTTACTAATCCCATCCATGAGTTTATCGAATATCTATTGGATTAATACAGTATTGGTTTTACGCAGTTATCTTGTAAACTAATATGAGATCAACATTTGCGTTATAACGCAATAGTGAATATCAAATAGCAACAATGTCTATCAAATAATGTATCATAAAAGTAAGAAAATACTGATCATTTTCTAGTTGTTTACTCAACATAAATTAAGAATAAACTCTTCACTATTTAATAATAAGTAAACTTCAGATGGATTATTTATTGTAAACTTAAGTAGACTTAATAGTGAATACAAAAAAGAAAAAAAAGAACTGTAAACAGTAAAATGTAATTTATGAATCACAGGCATTCTGTTTGTAAATTTTATAATATGAATCATCTCATTACTTTCTCTTATTATTTCTTTTTTTCTAATTGATGAAACCTTATTTAGGTAATTTTTATATCAATTAAAGAAAGTCTATGATATTTGATAATTCAATCAAATAAAAACTAAAATATTATGCTCTACTTCAATTAGTGTTGTTGTTGTTTTCTCTTCTAATATTATAAACATTTGTTTCCAAATATAGACAGACTGATATATTGAATAAGGTCATTCTATAATTGAAAATGAAAACTGGATTTGTATTGTCTACATGATGAATGTATGCTGTGTTATTTATTTATTCTTCTTTTACAACTTAATTTTTTATTCTATATTCACAAAATTTTTAAACAAAAACACCGTTGAGAAATATCAACAAAAGAAGAAAAAATCACTTGATAATACTGTAACTTCATTTAACATAAATGAATCATGAAAAAGTTATTCTCAATGGCTACATTTAAAATATATGCTGTTGATAGAAATGATAAATTTCTATAGTTTATATTTATATTGTGTAAGAGCACTTCATTAATGAATAATAATTCGAGATATTAATGGGATAATTTAAATTTAATTAAAGCCATGAAGTGACAATAGCTGGAAAATCTTAATGGATCATGGTATATTTAAGCTCTGACTTAAAATATTCTAATGCGGTTGAGATCTGAGAATGTTCATCCTCCGCTCGAAATGCTCTCACATGACTATGAATTTACATTCTCTGTCAGGAAAGTCCGAAATACTACCTCTATATGGCTAGAGTGTTAATTACGAAATCGAAAGCACTAAAAACGAATGCCTTCTGTTTGGACCAGGCAGATGAATACGAATGGCGTATCAAGGGAGTTAGGAAAGTTCTTATTCAAAACCACTGGTTTACATTAGCGACAGAATCCTCAAGTAATGAATGGTGTGTGAATCTATTTTCAGTCATTCGCTACTAATGAAACTTCATTTCTTGACGTTGCTTCACGGTCTTTCGGATTAGACTACTAGGTAAAAGAATAAAAGAGTGGCTTTGTGAGAAAGCTACCTGCTTTGGTTTGACCACTAAGACAACAGCCCAGCTAGCACACGAGTCTTCGTGTAAGGCATACTATTCTTGCTGTCTATATGCACTCCATTTTCTCTAAAGTAAATATGAATTCGATTCGAGGTTTTTCGGAAGTGTGCAGCTGCAAACACAGGACCTCTAGGTGTAATGAAAAAGCATAATCCTCTTCATTTTTTTAAGCTTCAATTGAATGCTAATGTTGCGTCCAGATATAACATTGTCTGTATCCACTGACGTTCACTATTGAAGGGTCTTTAACTGGAAAACATCAATTGTTCAGTTTTCCTCGGTTTGTAACAGTTTTGCATTTGCTGTCTGTTTTTAAAGAAAACTAGTCTCAAATAAATCAATGCAAATAAATTTATTTAAGCGATATTTCAGATGAAGTTATAGCGGTTGACATTTCTCTAAGTATAACCTACGTCACATTTAATCGGTAAGTCTTGTAAGTAAGCGACTATTTTTTTAGCTAATATCTGATTATAGTGTTCGTGATAACCAAACTTGAGAACAAGAACTAGTGCGTTTATAGTAATTTTCCAAAAATGAATATCATTTTGAAATCGGAGGCATTTTTATATTTCAATTTACAACAAATCATTGCAAATAACTATGATATATATCTATAACAAAAAATATGAGGAAATTTCAACTAAACACATAAATTTAACGAGTTAATATACTTAGAAAAATTATAGTATCACTCGATTTTGTCTTCATTTCTTAAGACAGGTGTTTCAGTATAATACTCGTTCATTTCTAAATTGATAAAAATTTCAGCATCTACTCAAATATGGTAAATTAACGAATATTTACAAAAATATCATGCAATGTTTATTTTTTCTATAGACTCTGTCTCAGTAGCTAAGTGGACGACACGATGGCGTTTGAAGCGAACGGTACTGGGTTTGAGTCCCAGAGTGAATATCAACTCTGAGATGCAGGTACATCCAGCTGACGAGTCCCAAATAGAACGAAACGCGCGTCCTGGATTCCACTGCTAGCCACTATCCATCTTTGCTTATAATGCTTG